CAAAAGAGACTGGGAGAGGGTTTCATGTGATGTGTGCCGTGTCACATGTTCAGGGACCAGGCCTGAGTGAGTCAACTAGAAAAACAGAGCGACTCGCTTACGAGGATTCCTTCATACTTTTGTCACTAAGTTGTCTCCTGGGTGGCCGCCTGGTTGGAGAGTTGTGCGCTGCTAGTTAAAAGTTGTGTAATGTCACGGCGAAGCATATTTTCCTTGGGCACAAATCGCTGTTGTGCATTTTTATTGCGATTTTTAAACATTCTCATAATCAGGAATTTCCAGATGTTTTTGCCTTAATGATGCTTTTGAGGTTGTTTGACTTGCGCCTGATATGTTAAACCTACAATTAAAGATCTCAGAGTCCAAGATTCTTAAAGAAAACTGCTTTGGCAAGACAAACAATGGATGTCTTGTCCATAGTATGTGTCCTTTCAGCCCTTTCAGTTGATTACGGCACGTTTTTAAAGAACTAGATCTGCATGCAAATCATATATCACAAAATACACTCTCTCCTGTGCTCCTTTCTCAGGTGTATGACAGAGAACTGGAGAAGGCTGAAGGCTTTGAGCAGTTGGCTGATTTCTGTCAAACGTTTAAACTTCACCGTGGAAGAGTCCAGAACGAGAGTGAAGACCCTTCTGTTGTTGGAGAGTTCAAGGTAGGGTCACTCATAACCTCTCAGCTACTATCAACTGCTATCACATTCAGTCTCCAAGAGGAAAAAAATTCAGACGGCACCAGATGAAGCAATGGATGGGTGCCGTTGCTTATTAGCTAAGCTAATGAAAAGTCATTTGAATTGGCCCTTCTATTTAAAATGATCACATACTTGCCTCTGGCAGGTTCAGTCTGTACTTTGTCAAATTGAACATTCAACAGTTTGTTAATTTAGAGCGTTCTGCAAGAGATCCAGAGTCATGTGCCATTCTTTTGGTAAACTGTCTAGAACTCCTTGCCTTCTTTACAGACACTGTCTCTTAAAAATAGAGGTTCTTTAATGGTTCTGGGAACTTTAGGTCACTTTAAGGCTCTTACCAAGAACCATGTTATGTTGTGTAGGGTTGCTGAGCCAAGTAGTAGTTTTAGTAAATTTGTTATGTCATACGTTCAGTTGTAGTATTATTATTATTTTAATATTTATCTTTTTAGATAATGAAAGTATGACAGTAATATGGGGTTGGAACTTAAACTTAAAAATATCCTCCTGTGGCATCCGGCATATGACTGTAAAACCCATTTTTGGTTCTAATTGGGACCTTTAATTTAAAGAGTCTAGATGCTTTTTCCTGGTTTATTTGGATTACAACTGGTTTAGTTCTAGTAGGATTTGAGGGAACTAAATTTGAGGGATTTAAGTGTAATTTGAGGTTTGTCTGGAGGCCCCAGACAGCAGGTCTCCAAAAAAAAGTCAAACTAAATTGCACCATGAGTTACACTGACTCCTGTCCTCCTTCAGGGCTCATTTAAGATCTATCCGTTGCCTGACGATCCCTCGATGCCCGTACCCCCACGCCAGTTCCGCAAACTCCCCCCGAACGGTTTAGAGCAGTGCCTGGTGCGCGTCTACATCATCCAGGCCTATGGCTTACAGCCCAAAGATGCCAACGGCAAGGTAGGTACAACAACCAAAACAAGGCACTAAAGGAAAGAAACATGTGAACAAGCAGTTCGCTTTTCAGTGACCTTGTATATGGCTCGGGGTTGAGAGAGGTTGTTACAACAGCCCTTGTATTTTCACTAGATGCATTCACAAATCTCTAGTTTTTTTTTCATCAGCCAGAGGAGTCCTTGCAAAGTGCCAGAGTCATAAGAGAGCTGAGAAATTGCTTTATGAAAACATGGAGCCACCCTTTTACCCACAACCATAAACTCGCAATCGCTGCCCGAGACCTGGCCAACACGCCACCACCGCTGGCCCTGCGTCAGATGGAATTTCTCTTCATTAGTTGCGAATATGCTAAGATGGCGTGCTTTCATCACCTACTCAGGCCAGGAGTTATGATATGGAACATTTCACACATGTACTCGCTGCCTATGAAACAGACACTGATCACAGAGATTTGATGCTTTTTTCCACCGAAAGAGCAAAGAGCGGTTGTTTTAAGTACAAAAAGAGGGAGTGCTGTTTTGGATATTGTCGCTTATAGCATTTATGTGCGACTGTGTGGCTATGTTAACACATACTAACAAGCACTGCTTGTTCTTTCGTAGTGTGACCCCTATGTTAAGATCACACTTGGCAAGAAATCAGTCGATGACCACGACAATTACATACCCTGTACTTTGGACCCTGTCTTTGGAAAGTAAGTTTTTTTCTCTCTTTCTTTCTGTCTCTGAACAGATTCACACACACACACATACAGATATAGAAACACGTCATTGCAAGGCTCAATTATACCAGCAGGGGTCACCACACTCATAATAATGACGACGCCCCTAATTCTGAGAGTCTTGACGTTGACTAGGTGCGAGATGGAAGGTTTGATCTGGTGGCTAAATGATGACTGAATAGCAAGCATGTGAATTACTGATTTTGAAAACATTTAAGCTAAATAATTCAGAGATTAAACTGTGTCTTTTGCTTCTCATTTAGGATGTTTGAGCTGACATGCTCTCTGCCCATTGAGAAAGACCTAAAGATCGTGCTGTATGATTATGACATGGTCACTAAGGATGAGAAAATCGGAGAGACCATCATTGATTTGGAGAATCGCTTCTTGTCACGTCATGGTGCTCGCTGCGGCCTGCCACAGTCCTACTGTTTGTAAGAAATGCCTCTGTTTCTGATTGTATATCCTTTCACCTACCAGGTATTATTAGGAGTCATTATGAAAACTGTAAAAAAAACAGGAAATGAATGTTGTAAAACTTAACTTGATCCAGTGTCATATTGTGATCCTCAAGATCTTCTAAAGACCAGCAAACCATTTTTTTTTAAAACTCTATTGTCATATAGTTCTGAAACACATCCCTGCTTAAAAACAACTTCAAACAGCCCGTGGTCGAGTGCTGGTCTTAGCTGGCTTAAGATGGTTTTGCTGGTCCCTAACCCTAAGTTTTGATTAACTGTTGACAATTACAATAACTATGATAACACATTCTGCTTAGTTTTGCATTATAAATAAACTCTTTTTGTCTCTGTGCCGGCTCTAGGTCTGGAGTTAACCAGTGGCGAGATCAGCTGAAACCATCCCAGTTACTTCATCGTCTGTGCGAGAAGCGAAACTACAAACTGCCTGTCTACAAGCAGGACAGAATCTACTTCAGAGGACAGGAGTACACAGTTGCAGACCTTGGTCAGTGTCCTAAACACACACTCCAACTAGTTTCTTACCACTGAATTTAATGTTCATGATATTTGATCATTAATTCTGCGATTGTCGTTACCGAGAGCGGCTTCTCACGTGGGCGCGTACGTACGAATAAACAGAGGCATCGCGACCTATCAAACCCAGGGGCTGGACGGCGAAAAAAGAAAGTGGAAGTATTTTCTTTGGAGCTGCTGAAAGCATTAGTCACGAGTAAGAGCTAATCAAAGCAGCAACCTGACTCCATCACATCTTCCGTCATTAAAAAAAGCGAGTCGAGCACGAGATTGGCTGCGGTTCTGTGAAAACACTGACAGAAAAAGAATAACGATATATGTCTCGGCTTGTGCCATACATCATATCTGTGTGTGTGGGATCACAGAGCTGTCGGGGAGGCCGCTTGGCTGTTCTTGCTCGGTGCTATGAGCGGAAAGAATGAGTTGTTCCTCTGTGCGAAGAAAAACAAGTGCGATATTGTAAAGACGAAGGACCTGTGTAAACATACAGCACCTTTGACATAGTCATTCATTCACAGCAAATTTATCACTCCTTGCCACAGCAACCTAACGTCCCCTCCTGCTTAAAAGTGTGCCCTGGGGAAGATAACGCTAACTAATGCTAGTTCACCGTTAGGTGTGTATTATGTTGATCTTACTTGTGCGTAACCTCCATCAGATCCTCCCAGCCCTTCTGGTTTGACCTCTAAGCACTTCAAGTCCCACGGCCGCCTTTCAAGCAGTCAGATGTCACGCAGGGCCTGTAGAAAGCTAAGCTCTTCAGCCATTTTCCCTTCCATGATGCTTTGGGATGAGGTCGGCTTCAGATTTATGGTGAACCAGCATACAAGTGTGTTCAGCCAAGGTCAACAGTGTGTCGGGGCTCCTCAGCCTCCTGCTCCCGTGTCTCGCCGCGGAGGAATACTACATCTCTTTGTTTGGCCCTCGTAACTGCGCAACCCGCGCATCAAAGCAATTATCAGGTGGCCTTTTCGGGCATCCAACTTCATGGCAGAAATTGTCTTCCTCCACTTTAGTCTTTTTCCTCTTTTCTCCACACTCCAACCATGTTTCCCTCAGGGACGTGACACAAGGTTTCAAAGCATAAACTCAACAGTGGGCGTTTATTTTTTTTTCTTCCCTCGCTCTTTCTTTTTGCTTTTTGACAAGGGGAAACTCTCTTCCTAGAGCAACAGCAGTGCAATCAACGCATCATCTGAGGAACGGGGAAAGATAAACATTTCCAAATATTTAAGTGGAATGCTTCATGAATGTTGGCTTTTTTCTGCTCTCAGTTCCGACTTAATAAAACTTGATGCCCAAATGTTCTTCATATCAAATCAGAGGTTACATAGTGTTCCATTTCATGGTTTTAACGGAAAATAACATTGTGAGGAATCTTCCTTATAACTGTTCAACTATTTTAAAAACATAAAAGTTTGAAGTGCCTCAACATTTTGTGTCAATATGAATTTAAACTACAGTGACGTTATTGTTGACTACATTTGGCCCTCAGATGAAGGGAAACCTCTTAACCCTCACCTGGGACCAGTGATGGAGCGTCTAGCTCTCTTGGTGTTGAGGAGACAGGGTCTGGTGCCCGAACATGTAGAGACGCGACCCCTCTACAGCCCCCTTCAGCCAGATATAGAACAGGTTACAAAGTTTAATATTCCTATTACCAAAATTAAATTTTTTGTTATTTTATAACATTTTATATGTATCATTTACATGTATTTTAATTTTTGTAGATTTTATGCAAAATTGCATATTTTATTATATATTAATGTAAAATGTAATAGTTTATTTTATCTTATAGTAAATATGCAATGTATTTATTTCATTCTATACTAAATTTTAAAAAGTAATATCATTTATTTGTTTATTTTTTTGTTTATGTAATGAAATGTATTTTATTCTTTAATTTTGAAAAAAATTAATACAATTTAATTTAATTTTAATTAAAAAATTTTAGCAGAGCCACGTTATATCATATAGCTATCTCTATGCTTGTCTCGGGTTTTTCTTGATATGCCCTCTCACTCTTTACTGAGTAATTTAATTTATCAAAACCCAGGGGCGGTTGCAAATGTGGGTGGACATTTTCCCCAAATCTTTAGGTCCACCAGCACCTCCGTTCAACATCACGCCACGCAAAGCCAAAAAGTAAGAGCATTTCCTTGGTTTAGTATCTATCAATTTTGTTCTCAAAACACATCTAGAAGCATAATGTGTCCATGTTTTCTTCTCCCATAGGTTCTTCCTGCGCTGTATTATATGGAACACAAGAGATGTTATCTTGGATGATGTCAGTGTTACTGGGGAGAAGATGAGTGACATTTATGTGAAAGGGTACATCTGGGTGTCATAAATGGGTTGTTGGGTTTGTGTGTATAAGCTCTGGTTAAATTAAGTTGTTCTTGTTTCCCATTTCACGGGCCTGTTGCTTGTCTGTTGCCACTGTGACCAATAGTAACAATGGCTTGCAAAAATTATCGATCAGTAGCAACAAACACACAGTTGCAAGGCAACCATAGACCCAAGCTGTAGGCCAATTACAGCTAAGCAGCATGGTCTTCTAATGTGTTGGAAATGATGTGCCGGGTATTTGTGAATGTTATTTTTTCAATCCTAGCTGGATGCATGGCCATGAAGAGAACAAGCAGAAAACAGACGTGCACTATCGATCGCTGGGCGGCGAAGGCAACTTTAATTGGCGCTTCCTCTTCCCCTTTCACTATTTACCTGCAGAACAGCTATGCACCGTTGATAAGAAGGTGAGACGTAATCTGCATTTGTAAATTAAGTGGAAACCAACTGCATGTCAATTGAGAAAGACATAAAGGAAAACTCAAAATGAATCTGAACTGTTGATAAGAAAACAGGACATGATCTGCATTTGTGAGTTTAGTGGAAATATGTCAATTGTCAATTGAAAAAGACGTAAAAAGAAAACTCGGACCGGATTTGTTTAGTGGCTAGCTAGTGACGCTAGGCCTGTCGAAATTTATATCCGCACCCTGCGCTTCAGCTATGTTGTTGAAATGAAAATCTCCGGCCTTGATTGAATCTGAATAGGTGATCCGCAGGTCATCCTGCGTGATTTGCAGAGGTTTAGTCTAATGGCCACATTTTGAAGGCTATCACTGCAGTTGGCAGGTGTTTAATGCAATGTTTCAAAGCCAGATATGTTGCAGGCTGCATCTGGCACGCTTCCACTTACCGAACGTGGTACATGAACATCTTGTAACTGCGAGACAGTCCAGACTTCAGCCAAGCAATCTCAGGGAAAACAGTTAAAGTGAGGTTTTGGCAGGCAAGAGATCAGTTATGGTAAGATTGAAGATAGCGGTTCCACCCATTAAACTGAGAGCGGCCTGCAACAGCTGTCAAAAGATAGATCCGCTTTGGCTGAAGTTTGTTGGACGCAACACACAATAGAACCGATACACAGTGAAAAGGATTCTCTTGCATGAAACGCGGCCCTCGGGGATAAATTAGAAGTGAGTTCTTGTTTGCAGTGTTTGTTTTGATGGAGCTGTATGCGGTTGTCAGGCAGGATGTGCGGACCGATGCGGCCTGTTTACCGGTGAACGCAGCAGTGCAGCTCTGTGAAGCGTGAGTTCATTATCCTCGTGTTTGTCCGCACATCCATCACGGGTACAGTACGGTGGGAATGCTGTCACGCAGATGGAATCCTGTCTGGCGGTGGGGTGCTGATTCAGGGCTGTAGTGGGAGTCGCTAACACTCTTTTCTGACTGGGACGTTTCTGTCGCTCTCGGTGGCTCTCACTCACTCTCTGTTTCTCACCCTCTTTCTAATTCTGCTTCGCAGATTCACGCTATAATTTCCTCACTCTGTCTTTCTCAGTCGCTGTCTTGGTCTGTCGGTTTATTTCCGCCTCTCTGTTTCTCCTAGAGGTGGTGTTGCTCGTTAGTGGTGCTGGGTACTAATAGGTTGTTGGGTCAGATTTCACAAGCAAGGCAATTAGTAGTAATGATTATTGGATATTTGAGATTATTTAATATATTTATATATTGAAAATTTCATTGTTAATGCTCATTCCCCCTTTTTTTTTTACATTTAGATGACCTTAAACTCACTTAATCTTTAATACATTAATAAAAAATAAAAAAAGTGTTAAATGTAAGATTTAGCAAATATCAAAATGAATATCCATTTTTCATACTGTACAAGTAGTATTACCTAAGTTCACTTGTAGCATTTAAAATAGTTAATTTAAATTTTTGTTTTATATTTAACTTTGTTTAGATAAAACCGTGTAGAATTTTAATATCAGTTGTTTATCAGGTTATCCGTCAGTATTAAATTTTTTTTAACCGAAATTGCTCAATATTGGATATTTATTTGTACAAGCTCATTCACCCTGTTTTTACGCACTAATAATTAAACACTGTTACGTTACCTTCAGCAAATCTCAAAATGAATATAATTTTTTCATATTGTGCATGATAGCATTTTGATGTTTAAATTCACTTGTATCATTTAAAATGATTGATTTTTGATATTTGTTTTATTTTAAAGTTTAGACATAATATTCTAAAAATATAAATACAAATATTTTGAAAATATAATTTCATACCTGCCATATGTATATGTATTATTAACTCTAACATGAAAATAATTATTGGCTTGTCACTATTAGACAGAATGGAAATATTGCACATCTCTAGCAGTTAGCCTGGGTTGCTTAAAATAATATTTCAGGTTCAGTACAAGTTGGGCTCACTCGACAGGATGTTGATTACAGCAGAAAATACACTTTTCACGGTTACAGTTACAATAAAAATAAACACACAATGAAATTAACAGTTCAACTTACAAAAGCGCAATTACAAATCAGTATGTAGTTCTTCTGTTAGTACCTCTCTCAATCTCACCATGTTTTTTTTTTCTCTACAGGAGCATTTTTGGAGTCTGGATAATGCTGAAACAAAACTTCCTCCTAAACTCACTATCCAGATCTGGGACAATGACAAGTTCTCCTTTGATGATTTCCTTGGTAAGACCAAAACCCAATAGCTGTCCCTCGTGGCAGATCACTCCTCAGCTCTCTTCCACAGCTTCGCCACCCTCAGCAAATTCAGTCGTGTTAACCTTGCAAAGCACCACAAAGCTGTTTTTCAAGCATATTTCTCAGCCTTGACATGACAGAAGAAAAACGTTCTGTGGAACCGGACCACACTGATAGGACCATGTGTGTGGTTTATTGTCATTAGCCTATACCTCTGTCTATATGAATATGTGCGTACAGGGAGATGGTTACCAAAACCCCCTTAACCTGTGTGAGGTTACCCACCGCACTGTTGTGTAGCGTGACCGTCAGCATAAATGCACTTAACAATCTTAACGCAAATACATCATTCAGACCACATGAGCGCTCTATAGCATCTTTACTGCTAATGTTATTATTATCAGCTGAACCTAATTTCCAGCATGTCAGCACAACTGGAAGAGAAATAAGTTATGAGCCGTCTCCTTAAAGACCTCTATAAAATACACTGATCTATGTACATTTGTAAAATAATTAGCATCCGACCACAATAGGAAAACCTCAAAGAAAACGACTGACTGCCAGCTGCAAAGTCTGAAGGTCACAGACATTTTTTACTGATATTATGGGAAATGATTGAGAAAAACAAGATTATGACACTTGCTGACTGTTGCTTCTATTATATTTGTGTTTCTTTTGCATAGATAATTTACATTTACATACAGTGGGTACGGAAAGTATTCAGACCCCCTTCAATTTTTCACTCTTTGTTATATTGCAGCCATTTGCTAAAATCATTTAAGTTAATTCTGCTAAATTTCTAGATATTATTTTATATTTAATGTGCAGTCTTGTTTCACTGCTGTAGTGTGTCATTGTGTGACAAATCAATTGTTGAACTTTTTGCTCAATTTCTTCTCACTCTTTCTAAGGCTCTTTGGAAATGGATCTGAACCATATGCTGAGTCCAGCAAAGTCTCCAGAGAAGTGTGGTCTTGAGATGTTCTCTCAGTCCCAGGACAAGCTGGTGTCTTTGTTTGAGCAGAAGACAGTAAAAGGCTGGTGGCCTTGCGTGCGTGACAGAGAAAATGAAAAGATACTTGCAGTAAGAGTTACACAAAAACCAGGGTTATTATTGTCTTGAGAAATTCACTATTTTCTTTTTCTTTCTTTCTTTCTTTCTTTCTCTTCCGTACTATGCCTTTTATGTTTCATAACTAAAATCAAATGGCTGGTGTCATTTTGATTACACCCTCTCCTATCTATTTAGTTAGATATTTATGACACAGTAAAACATACGCTATGTTTGAGAGGATAAATTTATCAGACTGCCCTGCACTGATTAAAAAATGAAAACTGAAGTAATTTTCTGTAAATTGTTTTATTTATAGTGTAATGCACATTTATAGCTTCAATTTAGTTATATTTAGTACTTAGTGTTAAGTTTTAATTTTTTATATTTATTTCAAAAAATTAAATATTATATTATAAAAATTGTTACATTATTTTATTACATTCTTACTTAAATATTCAGTTAAATATTACATATTAAGTGAAATAATTTGGTACCACTTACAATAAGGTCCATTAGGTAGTTAATTAATTAATTAACAAAACATAAACTAACAATTAAAACGAAATATGAAATTATTATTTATCATTACATTCTGCATTTTCCAACCACCAGCCTGTATGTCTCTGTGATAAAGTTTGTTTAGGGGAAAGGAAGAAGTCGGGGTCGGCGTGACTGAGGCTCGGGGAATTTTATTTAGCTCTCCCAAAATTATAAGCATAGGCGTGATCACACGCATCAAACAACATAAACTCAGAGCACGTTGGCTGTATTCTCGGTCACTTGGGCCACGAGTCCTCAGTCGGTCTCTCTCTCCTGCTTCTGATCCACCGTGGCCTTTTACGGTCTCCCCACACCAATCACTGTAAGTAGAAGCAGGTGAATGTCATTCTGCACTTGACCTACTTACTCACCGCTCGTCTCCGACTGCTCCCTCCCGCTGCAAACCCCGTTAAACCACGCCCCCTCGCCACATACCCCCACCACCCGACTCAGGCCGGGGAGACCTCCGAGAATTTGAAGGGTTGCAATGCTAGATACCAACGGGTGATCCGCGCGTTGGTATCCTTCATGCGGTGGAGCCACTGCAGGGGCGCGTGGTCCAAACAGAGGGTGAATTCCCGGCCCAGGAGATAATAGCGGAGGGTGAGGACCGCCCACCGAATGGCCAAACATTCCTTTTCAATTGTGCTGTACATCGTCTCCCTCTTAGAGAGCTTGCGACTGATGTACAGCACCGGCTGCTCCTCACCCCCTATCTCCTGGGCCAGAGAACTGCCTCACCTCCTTTTTGGTCTTGGGGCAAGTTGCAACCGCTGCAGTCTTATTAATTTGGGGACGCACCTGCCCGTGACCCAAGTGGAAGCCCAGATACCTGACCTCCACACGCCCAACCGCACACTTCGATAGGCAGCGGCATATGCAGCATGTGGCCGTAAGATTTTGTCCATGAGGCGCTGAAACGTGGCCGGTGCCCCGAACAGCCCAAAAGGAAGCGTGACAAACTAGTGTAATCCAAACGGCGTTGTGAAGGCTGTTTTTTCTTTGGATAATGGTGATAAGGGGATCTGCCAATATCCTTTCGTCAAGTCCAGTGTCGAATTAAACTGAGCTGTACCCAGCCGATCAAGCAATTCGTCAACTCGCGGCATGGGATATGAGTCGAATTTCGACACAGCATTCACCTTGCGATAATCCACACAGAATCGCACGGAGTCGTCTGTTTTAGGTACTAAAACTATCGGGCTCGCCCAATCGCTGTGGGACTCCTCTATTACCCCCATCTCTAGCATTGCCTCTAATTCTGTCTGAACGACCTTTTTTTGTGTTCAGGTAATCGATATGGCCGGCTCCAAACCACCACTCCCGGCTCAGTCTCAATATGGTGCTGTATGAGGTCGGTTCGGCCAGGCGGGAGCGAAAACACATCCACAAAAGCGGCCTGTAGCTTAGCTACATCAGTGAGTTGCGAGGGCGAGAGGTGATCTCCTCCAGGGGCCAGAGCCAGGGATTGGTGTTTGATGTTCGCCTCTGGCCCGAGATCATCCTCCTCACTCACTGCCGTCGCTAACATCACTGATTCCGCCTCGCTCCACTTTTTGAGGAGGTTGAGGTGGTAGATCTGATGTGCTCTGCCCCTGTCTCTACGAATTACCTTATAATCAAGATCTCCAATTCGCCGCGTGACCTCGAAGGGCCCTTGCCACTTGGCGAGTAATTTAGAGCTAGACGTGGGAAGTAATACAAGCACTTTTTCTCCCGGTGCAAATTTGCGTAGTCTGGCCCCCCAGTTATATAGCCGGCTTTGCCTATCCTGGGCCTGTAACAAATTCTCCATTGACAGCCGCCCCAAGGTGTGGAGATTTGTTCTCAGGTCCAGCACGTATTGAATTTCGTTTCGGCTTTCTGAAGGCCTGTCCTCCCAAGTTTCCCTCAGGACATCCAGCACCCTGCGGGGCTGCCGTCCATAGAGAAGCTCGAAGGGGGAAAACCCCGTGGAGGCTTGCGGGACCTCCCGCACAGCGAAGTGTAATCCAAACGGCGTTGTGAAGGCTGTTTTTTCTTTGGATAATGGTGATAAGGGGATCTGCCAATATCCTTTCGTCAAGTCCAGTGTCTAATAAAATCGAGCTGTACCCAGCCAATCAAGCAATTCGTCAACTCGTGGCATGGGATATGCGTCGAATTTCGACACAGCATTCACCTTGCAATAATCCACACAGAATCGCACGGAGTCGTCTGTTTTAGGTACTAAAACTATCGGGCTCGCCCAATCGCTGTGGGACTCCTCTATTACCCCCATCTCTAGCATTGCCTCTAATTCTGTCTGAACGACCTTTTTTTGTGTTCAGGTAATCGATATGGCCGGCTCCAAACCACCACTCCCGGCTCAGTCTCAATATGGTGCTGTATGAGGTCGGTTCGGCCAGGCGGGAGCGAAAACACATCCACAAAAGCGGCCTGTAGCTTAGCTACATCAGTGAGTTGCGAGGGCGAGAGGTGATCTCCTCCAGGGGCCAGAGCCAGGGATTGGTGTTTGATGTTCGCCTCTGGCCCGAGATCATCCTCCTCACTCACTGCCGTCGCTAACATCACTGATTCCGCCTCGCTCCACTTTTTGAGGAGGTTGAGGTGGTAGATCTGATGCGCTCCGCCCCTGTCTGTACGTGAGGTGGTAGATCTGATGTGCTCTGCCCCTGTCTCTACGAATTACCTTATAATCAAGATCTCCAATTCGCCGCGTGACCTCGAAGGGCCCTTGCCACTTGGCGAGTAATTTAGAGCTAGACGTGGGAAGTAATACAAGCACTTTTTCTCCCGGTGCAAATTTGCGTAGTCTGGCCCCCCAGTTATATAGCCGGCTTTGCCTATCCTGGGCCTGTAACAAATTCTCCATTGACAGCCGCCCCAAGGTGTGGAGTTTTGTTCTCAGGTCCAGCACGTATTGAATTTCATTTCGACTTTCTGAAGGCCCGTCCTCCCAAGTTTCCCTCAGGACATCCAGCACCCCGCGGGGCTGCCGTCCATAGAGAGGCTCGAAGGGGGAAAACCCCGTGGAGGCTTGCGGGACCTCCCGCACAGCGAATAAGA